TTGGGTAGAAGCATTGACAATAAAGAAAAGCGATGTTGTTTTTGTGTGTAACATCCGAGCTCTTTATAGATCAATAGATATGGCATTGGCAATTTCCTGCTGTTATCACTTCTGTTATGTATGTACTAATACGTGGTGGTCAGGTGACCCAGATCAATCTCAGTAGGGCCGGCCAGCGATTGGCTGTGGGGCACCAAGCCGATGGGCTTCTAAGAGGTACTTTGGAACATTCACGGACTTCCACAGGTTCGGTGACAGCGCCTCTCATTCCCACCTTTGTGTTCCCTTCCTGTTCCCTTCCTGTTCATCTCTTTCCTTTCTTTGATCTTCTTACTTCTTTATTACCCACTCGCCCCCTGCTGGGTTCTTTCTACAGCTAATCCAGCTTGCCCACTCTTCACTCGGCTCTTGTTTATTCTCTGGTAGATTCGACTAGTTACTACTTTTTGCGCCACTCCAACGTTCAAGATGTCTCTCTGTATTAATCGCCTGACGGAAGAAAGGTATGTGATAGAATCGTTTGGCGCTTGGCTACGGCCTTGCCTCAGGTTGGCTCTTCTCAGATACTGATTGCGATCGTGCATCTTTACAGAAAGCAGTGGCGACGAGACCACCCTTTCGGATTCTATGCGAAGCCTCATCGAACCCCTCAGGGTGTGTTGGATTTGAAGCGCTGGGAATGTGGTGTCCCTGGAAAGGCACAGACCCTCTGGGACGGAGGACTTTTCAAGCTTGATGTCACTTTTCCAGACGGTAAGTTGTTGTCTACTTCCCTGATGTCGCGAAGACAGAAATGGATTGACTAAACTGTTTATGTAAAGAATACCCGACTAAACCTCCAAAGTGTACGTATTTTAGCCCTTTGTTGAAAACAGAGCGGAGTGGAAAGCAGCGGTCATCCTGCTGGGTCTCATGGCGGAAAGCTAATGGTCACTACAACAGGCAAATTCGTCCCTCCTCTGTTTCACCCGAATGTCTACCCCTCAGGCACCGTCTGCCTCTCAATTTTGAATGAAGAAGAAGCCTGGAAACCTGCCATCACCATTAAACAGATTCTGCTCGGCATTCAGGACCTGCTCGATGACCCCAATCCGGAGTCGCCTGCACAGGCGGAAGCGTACAATTTGTTCAAGAAGGATCGGCCGGCATACGAGAAACGAGTGAGACAAGTTGTGAAGGAGAACCCGACGCTTTGAGCCACTGTCCACTCTACGGCAGACCGGATTACGTTTTCGGGGGTTTACTTCTTTCTTTCCACATGGCGTCTTTCCTCGCCAAATTTCTTAGGCGGTTATGGCGCATTACGAGTTGAAGCAGACGTTTGCTGCTAGTAGATAGCCATGTGGGAGAGATTTTACGTTACTAGGTATCTCATTCTATGCAGCGTCTTTCTCGTTTCTTGTGAAGGGATAGGGAAGGATGAGAAGCTAGTAGGACGGGTTATGCATCTCTCTGGCCGCGATGACTGGTGGCGCATGCGCGCATCACTTTTCTTGCTTTTATGATCACGATATCTTGTTTTCTTTACTCCGTCTAGCGAGCGTGGCGTCTTAGCATTCACAAAATGGGTGGTTATGGACGGCGTTTTAGAATCGCTTCGTTGTTCTTTTCTTCTCTGACCCCATCCATTTCTTTGGGTCTTCTCTGGAATCGTATATTCACTGTGCTCTCAGGGTCATTTCTACCTGCAACGGGTGATCTGACACTTCCGTAGTTAGTACGCCGTATGTGGGGTAGAATGATCCGCTTGATGGATGGGGAGGAATTGGTTTTTTAGGGGTCGAATTGGTCTGCTCCAGATGTGTCCAATTAATCCCCAGTACCTCCCATGGTACGAATAGGTAGTATCTGATCAGTTTTGCACCGTACGAAGAACCTTAAGAAAAAGGAGTAGTCATGGAATAATCAAGCTGTCATTGGAGGGCACCGATCCAGACCCAGAGCGGGTTATCTTATCAGTGAGTCACGTCCGTCAAAAAAGATTGAATAAATTGTGGCCGAAATCGCCCCTCGATTCCGCCCCGCCGGAAATCGCATTTTTAAAAAGTCACTCTTCCCCATACCCTATACTTTTCCCGGAAAGCACGCGTGGCAATTCCTCTTCCTTCTCTTCTTCTCATCGTCTTGCTACTTGTCGCTTTTTCTAGTGAGCCAATTGCTCGCCGTCATCATGTGTGGCATCTTTGCGTGTTATAAGTATGTCCCTACTGCTTCTACTTGATCCCTGTTCCCTCCCCCCCGCGAAACCCTAGCAGCGGGTACGGGGTCATTTCCGGATCAAAAGTCGCTAACGGTTGTTACCCCTCGGCAGCCACCCTGATGTGCAAAAATTTAAGCCTACGGCTTTGCGCATGGCCAAGGCGTAAGTATTCCTAGTCTTTCACCGGACAGCAGAATCGAGACTGATTTTGTTTGCCAGCGTGCGCCATCGTGGACCCGATTGGAGTGAGTCATAGATGTGGAAGGGTTTGGTGAATACTATGCTGAAAAAACAACAGGCGGAAACTACATCGCTGATAAGACCAGTCAGTCAATTTCAATTCTACAAGGAATCTCCACCTGGGAACTAGGAGCTAACACATCGCAGTCCTTGCACACGAGCGTCTGTGTATCGTCGGTGTCGGTATGTGCCCTGCCAAGCTTCGCAAGCGAGGTGTCCTGCTAAGACCTTTCAGACTCTGGTGCTCAGCCCCTTGTGAACGAAGACGGTTCCCTCGCTCTGGCCGTCAACGGAGAGATCTACAACCACCGTATTATCAGAAAGAACCTGAAGAACCAATATGACTTCAAAACACATTCGGATTGCGAAGTTGTTATCCCATTGGTACGTGCGAAAGGGCCATTGCAGCCGCAAACAGTGACGTGATGGAGGCTGACGAGTTCAGTACATGGAACATGGTCTTGATGCCCCCAAGCACCTTGACGGCATGTTCTCTTGGGTTCTTTATGACAGAAAGCAAGACCGGGTCGTTGCGGCACGCGATCCCATTGGTGTCACTAGCTTCTACATCGGCTGGTCTTCGGAGACCCCTGGAGCTATCTACTTCGCTTCGGAGCTGAAGTCCCTGCACCCAGTTTGCGATAAGATCGAGGCCTTCCCTCCTGGCCATATTTTCGACTCGAAGACCGGCTCTATGACCCGTTATTTCGAGCCCAAGTGGTGGGATTCTGCTGTCGTTCCCACGACTCCTCTCGACCTTAAGGTTCTCCGTCACACCTTGGAGAAGTCTGTTCGGAAGCGTCTGATGGCTGAAGTTCCTTACGGTGTTCTGCTGTCCGGTGGTCTGGATTCCAGCTTGGTCGCCTCCATTGCTCAGCGTGAGACTTTGCGCATGCAGGAGGCTGCCAAGGTAGCCATCCAGAACCAGACTGGCTCATCCGATCTGGTTGGCATTGACGACAGCAACGAGCTCTCTACCGTCACCACTTTCCAACAGCTGCACTCCTTCTCTATCGGTCTGCCCGGTGCTCCCGATACTGAGGCTGCCCTTGAGGTGGCCAGGTACCTTGGAACCAAGCACCACGCTTTCACCTTCACCGTCGAGGATGGTATTAACGCTCTTTCCGATGTCATCTACCACCTGGAGACTTATGATGTGACTACCATCCGTGCATCTACCCCCATGTATCTCCTCAGCCGCAAGATCAAGGCGATGGGTGTGAAGATGGTTCTGAGTGGTGAGGGAAGTGACGAGATCTTCGGTGGCTACCTCTACTTCCACGCTGCCCCCAACAAGGAAGAATTCCACAAGGAGACTGTGAGACGAGTCAAGGCCCTGCACCTGGCAGACTGCCTCAGAGCGAACAAGTCGACCTCCGCTTGGGGTCTGGAAGCCCGTGTGCCTTTCTTGGACAAGAACTTCCTTGAGACTGCAATGGGCATTGATCCTCAGGAAAAGATGATCACCAAGGGGCGCATTGAGAAGTACATCCTGCGCAAAGCATTCGACACCACTGATGAGCCCGATGTCGAGCCATACCTTCCCGAGAAGATCCTCTGGCGCCAGAAGGAGCAGTTCAGCGACGGCGTTGGCTACAGCTGGATCGACGGTCTGAAGGACCATGCTGAACTTCACGTCACTGATGAAATGATGAAGAACCCCAAGCCCGAGTGGGGCAACGATATCCCTGATACAAAGGAAGCGTATGTCCTGCACCTGACAGAGTCATGAGTGAGAAATAGGAGCTGACCATAGCAGTTACTGGTACCGTATGATGTTCGACGAGCACTTCCCACCTTACTGCGCATCTACCGTTGAGCGTTGGGTGCCGACATGGTCGAAACAGACCGACCCTAGTGGAAGGTAAGCTTGCAATGAGTCACCTCTCCCTTTGATTGTTCGTTACCGCAAAAGGCAAATGCTAACGTCTGACACCAGAGCTATTGCGACTCACAACGCCAAGTACGACCATGTTGAGTAAATGTTTAAATAATTATGCTTGCAATTTATGTCGGGTATTTGGGATAGACTCATGCATTAGAGACGTGTCTCGAAAAGTGTTTTTTCCGCCCCAAACAGCGCGGAGGGTTATGAAGTCCCTTTCAAAACTGCTCTTGTTCCCCTTAGCTCTTGTATAATCATGCCTTCTTTCAGGTTGGAGCCCTCAAAATAGACCAGGTTGTAGCTCTATTATAGATAAAAAATATTTGGTTTTTTTTTTTTTTTTTTTTGAGTAGTTTCATGGCGCGAGGAGCATGCACGTAACAACGAACCAGGGTGCATGCTTCCATACAGGTGAAGGAGTCACGGGTAATATTAGTACTAGTACTAGTAGTAGTATGAGTTTATGGAAGGGGTCTACTACTGCCATTGGATAAAACTTGAAGTGTCCAGTTGCAGATGACGGCATAGCCGCCCCAGGCATCAACGTCACGGGACTTAGCGGCTTTTACCGGCAACCGAGCAACAGCCAATCAGAGAGAGCGGCTTTTCCCGTGGTTTCCTTGTTGTTTGGGACTCAACCTTCAACCTCGCTTTTCCCCATCGCTTTCCTCCCTTCTTCTCCCCTCACCGTTTCCGTCCCCTTACAACCTTTATATTACCTTTACGATACCCACGTTATCGTTAACCACTCCTCTCACATTCATAATGTCTGCTCCTGCTTCTTTCTCTGACATCGCCAAGGCGGCCAACGATGTATGCTCTTGTGGATTCCTTTGATTTGCAAAAATCGACAATAAATAGCTTGTCGGGAAGGATTTTCGTGCTAATATTCTGCGCAATAGCTCCTTAACAAGGATTTCTACCACACCAGCGCTGGTATGTGTATCTTGTTATTAGGCCTACAATTGATGGTCAGAATACATTTCGCGCGCAACTAAGCTAACTTGTTTTTTTTTTTAGCCAGCCTTGAGGTCAAGTCCAAGGCTCCCAATGGCGTCACCTTCAACGTGAAGGGCAAGAACGCCCACGAGGGTCCCATCGCTGGCTCTGTAAGTCTCACAGCTTGCATATTATGAGTGATTTCAACTCACCGGACATGATGCTAACCGATTAATCCTATAGCTCGAGGCCAAGTATGTCGACAAGCCTACTGGTAAAGGCCCCAAAAGACGCAAACGTCGCATACGCAAACCACCCAATCCCAATTGCCCAATATTGCGAGACACTCGGTCCATGTTTTCATTTTCATGCGGCCAAGTCTTGTCTCAGCATATCAAAGTCTTTCTTTCATCCAGGATTAGCCATCATGCAGTCTTGCTAATGTTCTGTCCCCGCCCAGGCCTCACCCTCACCCAGGCATGGACCACTGCCAACGCCCTCGACACCAAGCTCGAGCTCGACAACAACATTGCCAACGGCCTCAAGGCCGAGATCCTCACCCAGTACCAGCCTTCCAAGCAGTCCAAGGGTGCTAAGGTCAACCTTCACTTCAAGCAGCCCAACCTGCACGCCCGTGCCTTCTTCGACCTCCTGAACGGCCCCTCCGCCAACTTCGACGCTGTCCTCGGCCACGAGGGCTTCCTTGTTGGTGCTGAGGGTGGCTACGACGTCCAGAAGGCTGCCATCACCAAGTACTCCGCTGCCATTGGCTACAGCGTTCCCCAGTACTCCGCTGCCATCACCGCCAGCAACAACCTGTCTGTCTTCGCCGCCAGCTACTACCACCGCGTCAACGCTCAGGTTGAGGCTGGTGCTAAGGCTACCTGGGACTCCAAGACCGGCAACTCCGTCGGCCTTGAGGTTGCCAGCAAGTACAGACTCGACCCCTCTTCCTTCGCCAAGGTATGCGAATTTTTCTGTGTCTACGTGAGGTGAAACAGCGCTAACTGATGACAAAATAGGCCAAGATCAACGACCGTGGTGTCGCCGCTCTGGCTTACAACGTTCTGCTCCGCCCTGGTGTCACCCTTGGCCTTGGTGCTTCCTTCGATACCCAGAACCTGAACCAGGCTGCCCACAAGGTCGGTGCCAGCTTCACCTTCGAGGCTTAAGCGACTCTCTCTGTACTATCTCTCCACGCCTATAATACCGTGTTCCGCTAGCTTGAGGATAGCAATTTGTGAATAATATTAGACTCTTTTCTATCTTCAGTTGTTTTCTAGATGCCATATAGCTGTACTCGGAATGGGTGCATGTATATGAGGCTCCGCGGATATGCTGGGAACGGGCGAGTGTGATCAAATGCCAACCTTACTAATCGTGTACCGTATCTATCCATGATCAATGTATATCAGTTAGGACCGATCGCCCCTCCCTTGTAGAGCAAACGTCAGGTGATTTGACAAGCACGTTCTGGCATGTCCGCTGTGATGGATATGGTGGCCGTTAGTCGAACCAAAGTTGATAAACACGGGCTGCATTACTATGCCCCATCCACCTCAACGGGCCTACTACGAGATCCATAAAAAGGAAAAGTAAACGCAGCTGCGGGGGAGCCACGACCGTGCACGACTCAACTCTGGGGTATATAGTCTATTAAGAATCCATCTCACTAGCTCCTAAAGGTACTGTACATAAGCGATTGGGAAGAAAGCACTTTCTCCATACCAAACCATGAGATATATACGACTCAATCTTCTTTTCGCCGAGGAGGTTTACTACCGCTAGCCTTCGTGCTCCGTTCCCCAGGCCAACCGACGAAACCCGTCATAGAACCAGCGCCCACCAGAATGCCGCAAACGATAATAAACCGCACAGCAAAATCCCCGCGACTTCCGATATACTGCTCATTCAGCTCCGCACCCATCTCCTTCGACCGCCTCTCCTTTCGTCTCGCATCCTCAGCTGACTGCGTCTTATAATGCCCTGGCGCATTGAAATGATTCACAGGGTTTCGATAAATAAATGCTGTAGGATCATGCTCGCTCCAGCCGCCCGCAGCTGAAGACGACGATGCTCCTCCGGGAGCCTTCCTATTCCCGTACCCCCCATGCGCATAGAAACTGGGCGGCGGCCCGCGGAACTGTCCCCGGCGTTTACTCAGTCCGCTAGCTGGCCGCGATCCAGCGTATGATGCCCCCTTTGTGTGCAGATTTGCGCTGTAGCTACTGTAGCTGCCCATGGGGTGTTGGCCAGGGTTTGCGGTGCTGTGTGTTGAATGGTGGGCAATGATTCCGTGTTCGCGGTCGTAGGCGGCGCGTTTGGTGTGATTGCTGAGGATTTCGTAGGCGGAGGAGATTCGGGTGAAGCGTGAGGAGGCCTTTGGGTCGTTGCGGTTGCGGTCTGGGTGGTGGCGGAGGGAGAGGGCGTAGAAGTTTCTGAGTTGGGAATTTTACTGTTAGTTTTTTTTTTTTTTTTTTAGTGGAATTGTGATTGTGGACCACGTGTAGGTGAATGTGGTTTTCTTTTGGCATATATATGTGTGGCTGAGGCCAGGAAATCTGGTGGTGTAGAGGGGTATACGCACTTTTTGATCTCGGCTGGTGACGCCGTTATGGGCACTTCGAGGACTTCATAGTGATTCGGCTCACGGCTCGTTGCGCGCCTCGTTGGCGACGTCGAGAACGAAGTTGTACTGGTGTACGATGTGGGATGGGTGTGGTTCCAATGCTGCGTGTGTGGATGAGTGGTCCGGAGTCGAATGCCGGGGGTCCTCACGCGAGGAAATATCATGTTTCTGGACGTGTCTGTGCTGTCATTCGATCCTGATGATAGATGATAGGGGTGGTTTGCACTTGGGAGAGAGGGCACGGGTGATTGGGATGTGAAATAATAGGTAGTTGGTTGGATTGGATATAGATTGGGAGCGGAAGGATGGGAGAGAAAGAGTGGAAATTCCGCCGCTCATCGGAGGTGCTGCGTCATCGGTTGATCGATTGTTATCTGATAATCTAACTTTAGTCGATCTATAGGAAGGGGCTAAAGGTATGTACGTTCATTTCATATGTAGAAGCTAATTTAGCGTATTCTTGCCATTGGTATGTTTATTATTTCCTTTATTTAGCTATTTTAACTGTTGGATTCGTTCTACCTACTATCTTGGTGCATCGTTGATAGTTGGATAATACCGTGTGTCTCGCCAACGTATGTATCTTGGAAGTTGTTAGGAAAAACACAGGGTTTCCTCAGCACCACTCCGTACTGTAACTGACATCATAAAAAGAACTGGACTAAAGAAAATATATGCATACGTACAACATACACACATAAAGGTAAATCTATCATAGTGTTGGTATAAAAACCAGTTGTTGCACGCGACCATTTAGTATTGAGTCTCGAACCAAACAATACAAGTTACACGACAAAGCAAGCCACTTGATCAATACAGAGCCATCTATTACATCAGTATCGAATAACCAAGTAGTACTTAAAGACAAGAGTGATTCTTTCACAGTTTTACGGTGGCGAGGGAGTCTTTAAGTATGCCTGGTTATATAATACCAGGTAAAGAAGGCAGTTACGTCTTGGCATTGGAACCCTTCAATACTAAATACCGAAAGCAGCCGCTCCCCTCTTTTTTTTCCGCCGTCAGATTTCTCTGCCAACCCAACGCAGGTTTTTGCCCCCCGCCAACGGATTTTCTTGTGTCAAATCCTCTTCATAATGGCTTCTCAGGCTAGCGAGGACCTGCAGAAGCTTGACCGTAAGTGCTTACCCCGTTCTTGCAGTAACGATCGCACTTAAACTGATAAGATATGTCCTGTCTCAGTGAACGGCCAGGGCGGTGCCGCTAAAGCGGACGCCCCTACCACGGGTCAAGCAGAAGCCGGAGAGGCAGAGGACGACTCGGATGATGACGCTGATGAAGGAAACGCTGCTCCCGAAGGCGGAGCCAACGGAGGTGCGCTAAACCAACCAAGATACCCCCGGTCAAGGAATACGGAACCCCGCTGACCACAACCGATGATGCATAGCTGCCAAGAAAAAGAAGAAGCGCAAGTCTAAGAAGAAGAAGAAGGGCGGTGCCAAGGTTCAGAGCGAGCCCCCGCGGGTCCCTCTGTCTCAGCTCTTCGCCGGCAAGCAGTATCCTGAGGGCGAGATCGTCGAGTACAAGGATGATAACTTGTACCGCACGACCAACGAAGAAAAGCGTTATCTCGACCGCATGAACAATGATTTCCTGCAGGAGTACCGTCAGGGTGCCGAGGTGCACCGTCAGGTCCGTCAGTATGCGCAGAAGACCATCAAGCCGGGCCAGACCTTGACGGAGATTGCTGAGGGCATCGAGGATTCGGTGCGTGCTTTGACTGGCCACCAGGGTCTTGAGGAAGGTGACAACCTCAAGGGCGGTATGGGTTTCCCCTGCGGTCTGAGCATCAACCATTGTGCCGCTCACTACACACCTAATGCGGGCAATAAGATGGTGTTGCAGCAGGGAGACGTGATGAAGGTCGACTTCGGCGCGCACATTAACGGCCGCATTGTCGACAGTGCCTTTACTGTGGCTTTTGACCCAGTTTACGACCCATTGCTTGAGGCCGTTAAGGATGCTACCAATACTGGAATTCGCGTATGCTGCTCTGCCTCCAACTTCCTAAGTTAATGTAATTTTTGCTGATGACTGCATGCAGGAAGCGGGTATTGATGTCCGCATGAGCGATATTGGTGCCGCCATCCAGGAGGCCATGGAAAGTTATGAAGTTGAACTCAACGGGACCATGCATCCTGTGAAGTGTATTAGGAATCTCAACGGTCACAACATTGACCAGCACGTCATCCACGGAGGCAAGAGTGTTCCGATTGTGAAGGGTGGTGACCAGACCAAGATGGAGGAAGGTGAAGTTTTCGCCATTGAGACCTTCGGTAGTACCGGAAAGGGCTACGTGAGAGAAGACGTAAGTGTGCTACTGGGCAAATACTGTGAGTCTAGACGGAGCTAACTTGCTAATAGATGGAAACATCCCACTACGCCTTGGTTCCTAATGCCTCTCCGGTACCTCTGCGTCTTTCTTCGGCCAAGAATCTGCTGAATGTGATCAACAAGAACTTCGGCACTTTGCCTTTCTGCCGTCGTTATCTTGACCGACTTGGACAGGACAAATATCTTCTTGGAGTAAGACGATAAAGCTCTCTAGGCCTTGGGAAGTACTTGCTGACATATTTCGTAGTTGAACAACCTGGTTTCGTCCGGAATTGTCCAGGACTACCCGCCACTTTGCGATGTCAAGGGCTCTTACACAGCCCAATATGAACATGTAAGACCGCACCACCCCACTGTACCTGAAACTTGAGAATTCCAACTAACTGACCATGCAGACTATTGTCCTTCGGCCTAACGTTAAGGAAGTGATCAGTCGTGGAGACGATTACTAAACCGGGGCGTTTGATTGGATGTTGTATATGTTACTTTGCTTATAGCATTATGAGATCAAGAAAAACCCAATGATAGCAATAGAAATGATCATGAACAATACTCTGTATACACCGGGACTGGATCAAACCATGGATTCAGGATATCAAACCATAATTCCCGAATAGGCAAGGCGGTAGATCGGACCAGTCACAACCATCCGTGGCGCCGGGAGGGCCCCACGTGGAAACAATCCACTCCGACTCACGTTGTCGTTGCAATTAATCAGAAGACTCGGATCGTCGCTTGCCATTGCCTCCTCTTCCTCTTTCTCTCCTTCTTTACCCGCTTTCGACCCATGGCGTAAATCCGTCACCTTTCCCTATCCCACCCCTCCCCTAATCATGTCCTCCGCCGTCGCGACCACCGATACTCCGCATCTCCGCGTGTCCGCCGCGAAGAACAAGGGCCTCGATGCAAAGAATGACCAGCAGTCGGTTCGAATTCCACCGCCAGAGTCGTCTCTAGTTGAGGATCAATTCTTTTGGACATATACGGAAGAGCCTCACCGTTCAAGACGGCAAGCGATTATCAAGGCCCATCCAGAGGTGCGTTCAACATCTTTCACCGCTCCATCTCATGCACCGCTAATCTCACGGGTTCGCTATATCAGGTAACCAAGCTCTGCGGTCCCGAACCTCTCACCAAATACGTCGTGTTCGGTGTTGTCTCCCTCCAGATATGCTGTGCGTATCTACTCCGGGACACCTCGATGCTCTCCTGGCGGTTCCTTGCAACCGCATACTTGATCGGAGCAACCGCCAACCAGAACCTCTTCCTCGCCATCCATGAAATTTCTCATAACCTGGCCTTCCGGTCTCCAATGGGCAATCGCCTGCTGGCGATTTTTGCCAATCTCCCTATTGGGCTGCCTTACAGCGCCGCGTTCCGAGTATGTCTTGTGCAGGGTATAACCGCCAGAAGCCACTAGTCACTGACAATATGAAAACAAGCCCTACCACCTAACGCATCATAAGTCCCTCGGCGTCACAGGCCTCGATACAGATCTTCCAACTGCGGTTGAAGCCTTCCTCCTTGACTCCCTCCTCGGCAAGGCCTTCTTCTGCACTTTCCAGATCCTCTTCTACGCCGTCCGGCCTATGTTCATCTACAGCCCGCCCTTCACCTACATCCACGCTCTGAACCTTGCCGTCCAACTCTCCTTCGACTACGCCCTCACCAAATTCTGCGGCGGTTCACTACAGCCCTTCTTCTACCTCATCCTCAGCTCGTTCCTCGCCGGCTCGCTCCATCCATGCGCAGGCCACTTCATCGCAGAACATTACTTCTTCTCCAAGGTCGACCACGGAACGGAGTCTATCACAGTGCAGAAGACGAAATCCACCGAAAAGAAACAGTCCCACCCCTTGGATAACCTCCCTCCCCCCGAAACATACTCCTACTACGGACCACTCAACATCCTGACGTACAACGTAGGTCTGCATAATGAACATCACGATTTCCCCGCCATCCCTTGGACAAGATTACATGCGCTTCATCGCATCGCGAGCGAGTTCTACGAGCCGCTACCTTGTCATCGTTCCTGGGTCTGGGTTATCTGGACGTTCATTCTAGACAAGAATGTCGGGATGTGGTGTCGGGTCAAGAGAGCCCAGGGGGGCCGGATTGTCGGTGGTGGCGGGAAGTCCGGACGTAGCGGAGAGACTATCTCGGCTGAGTCGGCTGGGCCGGAGGAGAATGAAGATGGGTGGAAGGAGAGTGAACTTCAAAATTGATTTGTATATGTACTATCGCTGCTTTTACTAACTGGGTTATGGATACTGTTGATGATTATAGAATAGAGATGATATCCACGGTCCTGGTGTCGGGTAGACTAAACCATGTGTAATTATTCAGTAAATGGGTGTTACTAGGCGTCTGATGTTGTTTACTTGAATCTTTAATTTCGAATAAAGCGGCCGTAGAAATACATGGTTAGAAGTGAAAGGGAGTACACAAGAGTCATATTGGCCTGGCGCATTAACTGCGGGCAAGCGTTTGGTGTCTGTTTTGACTAAAGCAATATTAACAATACTTGACAAGGTTGGGGCTTCAACAAGGCAAGTAGAAATTATTAAAACATGATACAAAATAGGAGTATTCGTATGATTCGAAATTGTTTTTTAATATTTGTTTCTATTGCTGTTCTGTGCGTCCATGTTGGTCGTCATGATAGAATATAAGAAATCGAAGAAAGTAATAGAGGAACAATAGAAAAGAAAAAAGGCGGAAAGAAAGGAAGATCAAAGAGTAAGGGAACGGGAACGGGAACGGGAAAAGGAAAAGTACAAGGGGAAAAAAAAAAAAAAAAAAAAGTAGAAACGAAAACGCAGACAAGAGGTATGAATAAGGCAACAGCGGTGTAGAGTGCAACTGGGGAAATAACGATATAAGGGGGTGTTGAGGCTAGGAACGATGCCACGGAAGCAACTCAAAGGGAATACAGTTCATCTGTAACAAAATAATTGAAACATGGGGGGTAAAAGTGGAATTAGTAAGAAAAGAAAAGATAAAGAGGGAAAGATCGGCGACTAGAAGAAAAAGTACGCAATCAAGAAACTTAGCAGGCACAAACCAGCCACCATTTGCACCGGCACTCCGGACTCGACAGATTGAGCGTGCTGTTGTTGTAACGCCGGCGCAGCTGGCTTTTCGGTCTCGCCGCCGATCTTCCTTTGCCTCAAGCCCTGGTCTGCCAACCTGTCTTTCAGTTTCTGGATCTGCGCCTTAGCCTCGGCAAGTTGTGCACTTAGGTCTTCACCCGAGGTTGGAATAGCGCTTGCAATGGTTGCCTTTGCAGAGGAGGCCTTGGATTCATTCGTCTGTGGGGTAGCGATGTCTCGCTTATCACTGAAATCTGGCGGTGGGATTGGTGACGTGTCGTTGGCGACTTTGCTGGCAGCTCCTACAGCAGGGGTCTGGAAGTTGGCAGCGGGAGAAGTATAGGCAGGGGGTTCGTCATCCGGCACATTCTAAATAAACGATTAGTCCTGGGGAGACCTATGCGAAAGGCTGGGCGATGATGTGAAACGTACAACACCGTTCGTCTCTTTCTGCTCGGTGGCTGGGGAGTCTTCGGCGGATAACCAGTTCACGCGGATCTTGCGCTCCTGGATTGAAGCCTTGGAAGCCTTTTCAAACTATGAGACCGTTAGGATATTGATCCGTAAATATCGATCAAGAGAGGCGTACGATAGAAGTGACGTTCGCAAACTCCATATCACGAGTTACCGCGACAGTTTGGACGAGGAACTTGTCCTTGCATTTGGCATCCGGGGCAGGCTCCTCTTTCATGGCCTGTAGTAACACTTTTATAAAGTTAGACATTATGAGGTCTCCGACATCGTAGGGTTGATTTCCGAACCCACCTTGGACATCGACGCTCTTTCCAGGTTCTATCCGTCCCGAGTTGGGGCGAACACAGTAGCTGATCCATGTTAGTAAACACCACGATCACTATAGTCAGAGATGAAGTAGGGAAGAGAGCGACTGCGTACTGTTTCGGGGCGGTCGTTTTAACCTAGTACCGAGCAACTCTTAGTGTGCGATCGAGATCTCAGGGGAGTGTCCTTCCGCATACCTTGAAGACAACAGGCTCCTGGTTTTCATTATTGAGATGTAGGACCTGGCAGACTTCACGATTGAAGGGGCCTGCGATCAAATTGTTTAGCCCGGAGTCAATGATGAATGAGCCCAATCCCGAAGGGTATACTCACGCTTGAAGGCCAACTCGGGCGGCTCGAGAATGATAGACATTTTGGGGGCACAAGACACGAGTGCGCAGGCAAACACAAGGAGGGTTAGGACTAATGAATGGTGCCGAGCAACGGAGAATGAATGTACTTCTGCGTGGTAGAGCAGCCGATGAGGTCAAGACGGCTGGACAACAGATGACTTAGGAGGCTGAGAGATGACCAATGTAGTTAGTCTGGTCAGGTAGGAAGTAGTACGATGGTGATGCTGCTGGTTTAATATTCAGGCGCAATACTCGACTTGTCGCAACGACGCCAATTGGCCCCCGACCGCGCTGACTCAGCCAACCCGCGGGTAGAAGTCAGGTGATGTCATCACGGACTATTTATCCTCTTTTTTCCCCTCGTCTCCGAGATAAGTACAGTACTCTCCTATGGATCTATGAACGTCTGGCATTCTGGAGTGCGTTTCTCCTCTATCTCCGTGGTTGTTATGGACCACGTGCTTTACCGACAGTTGAAGCAATTGCAAGAGGGGAATCATCCGACTCCCCTTTTTCTTTTGTCTTTCTCGAAAGTCTGGCCCTATCCCGCGGGATCCACTCCTTCACATCCTCGGACCCTAAAAATATGACCCAAATCTTTCTAGTTGGTAGTCGATACATGTGACGGATGTTTTGCATAGATTGTGATCTGCTCCAGATTACTCCGCTGTCTGCGTCTGGTCAAAGCGTACTAGTCACTATGCTTACTAGGGAAGCCATAGCGAGTTCCCTTAGGCATTACTCAACGTTCTAGTTGTCTACGTCTGTTGACTGACCGCTCGTCAGCATTGTATCTCCGAAGAATGGGATGTCAAGAAGTTTTCTATGAAGTCAGACACCGGCTCCAAGATATGATGCTGGGACTCACCGCTACTAGAATGCTTAGTACTCTTTTTTGACATTGAGTTTGATATTCTATAGATGCTGAGATTAAACTCTTTGGAACGTGACGGATTCCCCACTATATGTGGACAGCCATACCTGTTACTCTTGAGTTAATCTTCGATACGAGAAGGACATACCCCTGTTAGTCGTAGCAATGCCTAATTTGCCAGCCTTGTAGATTGGGTTCTGCTTCATAAGAGCCTCTAGGTTTTTAATGGTCTCGACTAGTACACCACAGCTGTATTCTGCCTTGACGATATCCTCGTATGGTGATGGTGATGAGTTCCTTTAGTACCAAAAACGGTAGTTATGTCGAACGGCCATGGTAAAGTGTAAACTAATATCGATTGGTTTGATGTGTTAAGAAGATATTCATCATATAGGTGGTCAACAATGGTATTGTGGTATGTTATGTATGTACGTACATACAGTACCGTATCAAAGGTGATTAATAACAGTCAAGCGGGTTCCGATAAGTACGTCACTTGAACACCTTTCTTTACTATTGTGTACAGCATCAACACCAAACTTCAATTTGATAGCTCTCAAAAAAAAAAAAAAAACGACATTATCCTTTATTTCTCTTGGGATACTGAGCATATCAAGTTGTCTAATTACACCCATACGTCGGCACACTACATAACGACTTCTCGTTAGTACCTTGTTCTGCCCCACTTCTTCTCCAACCGATCCCCATCCATACTCAATCCCACTTCGAATCTCTCTACACCTCTCTACACTTCTTGTCCCAACACTACCATGGCTCCCTCAGATTTGGACCAGCTCATTGAAATGGGCTTCGATAAGGAACGAGCCGAGTTGGCCGTTACCAAGGGCGGTGGCCGTAGGTGTTCCGCCATACTACCACTGGCTGTTCTCCGGGTATCCACTAACAACAAGCTTTTCTTCCTCAGTCCAGGGCGCTTTGGAATGGCTCGAAGCGAATCAAGACAAATCTTTGGAGGAGATAAAGACTGAGTCCAAGAATGATGATGAGGAAGAGGGCCCTCCGCTCCAACCAGGCGAGGAAGCCAGGAGCCTGGTCTGCAACGAATGTGGAAAGAAATTTCGAAGCCATGCGCAAGCAGAATTCCATGCCTCTAAGTCCCAGCATGTTGATTTCTCTGAATCTACAGAGGAACTCAAGCCTCTCACGGATGAGGAAAAGAAGGCGAGACTCGAAGATCTCAGACAGAAGCTGGCAGCGAAGCGATCAGTGCAGTCTGCGCAGGATAAGATTGACCAGAAGAGAAATGAAGTAAATGCGACACCCTTTACTACATTTGGAGGAGTGTCTACTAACCACTCTGCGATTAGGAAATTCGGCGAAAGAGCACGAAAGAATCCCAAGATGTGAAGGAGGAGCTCCAGAGGAAGCAAATGATGAAGGAAGCAGAGAAGAAGAAGCAGGAGAAGCTGGCAGATATCGAAGCGAAACGACGTGTCAAGGCGAAGATCGAGGCTGATAAAGAAGAGCGGCGACGGAAGGCTGAGCGGGAGCGCGCAGAACGAGCAGGTGTAGCACCTCCAGCTGAACCAGCTTCTGCTCCATTGGCCACAAGTTCGGGCCCTTCTACATCGAAGCCCGCATCTGCCTACACCGAAACTCGTCTGAGATTCCAAACCCCTAAGGGAAACATTCTGAAGACGCTTCCTGTCACGACCACGCTGTTCGAGGTTGCCGCGGCTCTCAAACAGGAAGATGGCATTGACGTGCAGAGTTTCTTGCAGACCTTCCCAAGAAAGGTGTTTGATTCTGAATACTATGGAGAGTCACTAAAGGACCTTGGCCTTACGCCCAGTGCAAGCCTCGTAGTCCAGTGAGTGGCTCTTGTTGGAGGTCTCGGCCACGGACAGGGATAAACATTTATCGAGCATAGTATTAGCAAGAAGAACATTGATACCACGAGAAAATCTATCTAACCAACTATAGCCAAGATTGTGTTAGTTCTGCTGGGTCTGGTCCCCGACAAGAGTTCCTACATATAGAATCACGTGATATCGCGACTGTCGGATTCCGTCACGCGTCGAGCTACACAGTTGACCTCTGCCTGTCTTCATTACCCGCCTCTGTGTACACCACACGTATCGGTGTATTCCAATGATACTCTTTCTTAAATAGTGTAACATTTATATATGCTTTAATGATGCCCGCGTGAGCCACCCCAGTGTGCTACGTTACCGCTGCTGTTAACCCCGATCCAAGCTAACGCGTCTTAGTGTTGGCGACCAACACCGAGGCAATCCGACATGCATCATGATGCCCAACACGGCCGACACTACATCAGTAAATCCCTTTGAGGAACGTCCTCGCCGCATGAATGAATATACAGCACGGGAGATCGCCACACTGCAAGCACGGCTCGATAAGAAATTAGG